ACTTGGGAGGTAAAGGCACGTGGGTCGCTGTGCTTTCGAGGTCAGCCTGTTCTACATAGCAAGTTCCAACCCTGCCAGTGCTAGACAGGGAGACCCTGTCTCAAACTGCCCCCCATGGTAAAATAAATAGAATAAGATTAAATTTTAAAAGAAAAATACTGAACTGCCAATCAACAATTCTACACAGGGAGACCCTGTCTCAAACTGCCCCCCATGGTAAAATAAATAGAATAAGATTAAATTTTAAAAGAAAAATACTGAATTGCCAATCAACAATTCTACTGAGATTATCAGACTCATGGGCACAAGCCAGGTTGGGGCTCGTCTCTGTAATTCCAGTGCTGGGGAGGCTGTGCAGTAGGACTGCCACAAATTAAAGCCTGCTTAGACTAAAGGGAGTTCCATGCTAGACTGGGCTGCAGAGTAACACTGTCTTAAAAAGAAAGAAGGGCTGGAGAAATGGCTCAGTAGTTTAGAGCACTGACTGCTCTTGCAGAGGACTCAGGTTCAATTCCCAGTATCCACATGGTGGCTAAGAACCATCCTTAATTCCAGTTCCAGAAGAATTCGATACCCTCCAGAGGAGTTGGTCCTATACTTAAGGGGCCTTCACAACACTTACCAACATTCTTCAACGAAAACAGAAGAAACTCCCCCTGGGCTTCTTAGTAGAGGAAGAAGAGAACTGGCATTTGAAGTACACCCAGGGCATGCCACTTCTTTAAAAAATGTATTTTGTTATTTTTATTTTATGTGTCTGAGTGTATTGCCTGCATGTGAGGATCCCCTGGAATTGGACTTAGAGATGGTTAAGTCACCATGTCAGTGCTGGGAACCGAACCCCCGTCCTCTGCAAGAGTAGATAATGCTCTTAACCACTGAGCCGTCTTCTCCCCCGGCCCTGGCCCCGCCTCCTTTTTTTAACGACAGCTTCTCATGTTGCCCTTGCTGGCCTGGAACTTGCTATGCTATGTAGACCAGGTTGGCTTTGAACTCACAGAAACACAGAACTCTACCTGTCTCTGCTTCCAGAGTGTTGGGATTGAAGGCATGTGCCACTACACCTGGTACATTCCACTTTTTTAAAAAATCTTTTTTTTTTAATTTTATGCGTATGAGTATATTGTCTGCATGTGAGTGCACCCGTGTCCTGCAATGCCTCGGAGGTCAGAACAGGGTGTCAGATTCCCCTGGAACTGGCATTAAGGGCAGTTTGTAGCTGCCATGTGGGTGCTGGGAATTGAACCTGGGTCCTCTGCAAGAGCAGTCAGTGCTCTTAACCACTGAGCCATCTCTCCAGACCTGGCACATTCCACTTTTAACAAGCCCTGTCCTAAAA